GAGTCTCCAACGCGTACTGAACGCGCCCTCGGTGGCCTTGCATACACTTGCACCCCCATGACCCTCGCGGTGCGACAGAGCATGTGAAGTCTTCCCACATATTGCTGGCCTATAAAAAGCCGAAGATCACCCGACAGCGCCGTCGACAGCATCCCTCGCCGTCAAGTCCGCCAATGATCGAGACCGGACGTCCGTAGACGTCCGCTGCGACGTCACGCGGTCCTCCAGCGATAGGTACGCAGCTAGCAGTACCTCGACCCAATGGGCTCTACGTTCGTCCGGGGCCCGCCTGGTCTCAACCAGTGGGACGGACTGGGTCACGGACGCACCTCTTACGGCTTGCAAGCACGCGTCCTCGTCGACGGTGGCGATCGTGCGGCCCTCGTGAGCGGGCCGACGTTAGTTAAAAGGCGGGCTGCGCGCTGCGACGGGCAGGGCAGCGGTCTGCGTGTTCAAGCCCGTTCGACTACCTCGTCATGTTCTACCTGCCGAAGAGCTTGCTTGTACTGTCTGTGTGGCTCTGTGGGGTGTTCGTCACTTCGGTGGACGCCGCGAGCAGCGGGCTTTTCCCTCCGTCGGGGCTGAACGTCGCGGCAAAGAGCGCCCGGAAGCTCTACCTTGGAACCGCGACGAACAGCGAGCAGTGGAACGACACGACGTACTTCAATATCTTGAAGAACAATGCCGAGTTCGGGCAGGTCACGCCCGCGAACGTCATGAAATGGGTGCGTCTCTTGCTTTCCCATGCATTGCACTCGCACATCTGTAGTACATACGTTCCAACTAACACCTCGTCACGCCGTAGTTCGCGACGGAACCCGAAGAAGGCGTGTTCACGTTCCACGACGCCGACATCATCGCGGACTTTACGAAGAAGACCGGAAAGCTGCTGCGCGGACATAACTGCGTGTGGCATAACCAGTTGCCGGACTGGCTCCAGACCGGCACGTTTAGCGCTCCGGACCTCGCGTTCATCGTCTCGCGGCATTGCTTCAACCTGGTCAGCCATTACAAGGGCCATGTGTAAGCTCAATAGCTCCTTTCTAAAAGCTCTGTATTCATTAATCTGCTTAACGCAGGTGTACGTACCAACTTGTGTGTATCGTTGCGTTGTGCTGACAGTACGGTTCGCCTAATGCAGACAGTTGGGATGTGATCAACGGTAAGCCATAGCTTGTGCTCTAAACCTGCGCGTCTCTCACCGGATGGCGCACCCTCAGAGGCATTCAACGATGACGGAACGTACCGTTCGGACATATTCTTCGACACTTTGAACACGAGCTACATCCCGCTCGCGCTCTACGCAGCGCGTGCTGCCGATCCCCAAGCAAAGCTCTACATCAACGACTTCAACATCGAGGGGATAGGTACGCCCTTGACGAGGGTTCGCCCTCAGATAGCTTTCTCACGCCAAGGCTCTTGTGTCTCTCCGCCCTTCATAGGTGCCAAATCCGCCGCCCTCAAGGACCTCGTCAAGTGGCTGAAGAGCCAGGGCGTGCCCATCGACGGCGTCGGGCTGCAGTCGCACTTTGAGGTCGGCGGCGTCCCCCCGACGCTGCAGCAGAACATCGAGGAGTTCGTCGCGCTCGGCATCGAAGTCGCGATCACCGAGCTCGACATCCGCTTCACGTCTCTCCCGCCCACCACTGCGGGCCTCGCGCAGCAGAAGAAGGACTACGAGACCGTCATCGCGGCGTGCAACGCGGTCGAGAAGTGCGTCGGGGTCACATTGTGGGACTTCACGGACAAGGTACGGTCACATCCTGCTGTCATGCGAACGCGCGCGCGGGTGGCTGACGGACGTGCCGCGCAGTACTCGTGGATCCCGGGGACGTTCGCCGGTCAGGGGGACGCGTGTCCGTGGACGGATGTATGCTGATTTCTCTGCGTGTGCGCACATTCCGGTGGCTGATGGCTCGCGCTCCGTTGCAGAAATTCGTCAAGAGGCCTGCGTACGAAGGCATCATCGAGGGGTTCAAGGCTCGTCGTTAGTAGTACTCGCACGTTCGGCCGCGTTGGCGCGATTGGTTGATGTGACTCTCGGAAAACGAAACGAAACGAAAGGGTCTTGCTGCATCGCGACCCATTTAGACGTCTTCTGTCTGGCCAGATGCCATGACTCGTTCACTGCAGCTTGTCCGTGCCAAGTGAACCTTGCGTGGGAGAAGAGTGTAGTTCCGACGCCGCACGGGGTTCTTTGCCACACAAATAAGCCTGCAAGCGCGAGAGGGCTGCTTACTCTGTCAGTTCAGGACTATCCGGAGGTTGTAACAGACGGTAAGTATCAGTTACAAATATCAATGCAACTGGCATGGTTATTCCGACAAATCCCCGAGAGCACCGCTTTCACGTTGAACCTTACTTGGTTTCACTCATGCCTCCGCCGGCAAAAGCTTGCCAAGCCCCGCACGGGTCCTTGCCCCGGTTGATCAGCAGCGCGGATGCTCCTTTGCGGAAACGCGATGGCGAATATTGTGAATGTTGGGAACTTCCACGTCATTAGGGCGAACTCGCCTTGCCGTCGTCTGGGCAAATCTGACTAGGGTCACATCATCCGTCTGCACGAGGTACAGCACATATATACCGGACAGCTGTGCCATAGACCTTGCATTCCACTCTCCCACCTCGTGGATTCTACTCACGTTATTATCCATCCCCCGCTAGTGTAGCTGTGATGAATATCGAGCTTTCGAAAGTCCCGTCGCGCACCGGCATCCCTCATCATCATCATGACCAACTGCCACCGCTAGGGGGAGACGACGGAGCCAGCTTAAAGAGAGGAGATGCAGATATCGAGACCGTGGCGAGAGACGACTCTCGCTCCGTCGATACGGCACCTCCCACCGCCGCTTCAGCCTCCACCGCCGCTTTTCGTCGATTGGCCAGATTTCAGTTCGCCACACTGTGTTGGACCCTCTTCCTAGCGGGATGGAACGACGGCACAACAGGCCCTCTTCTGCCCCGGATGCAGTCGGTGTATCATGTGGGTGGCTTTGCGATGCGATGGGTCTCCGACATACGTACTGACTTTCGGCACGGCACACATCGACAGGTCGGCTTCACGTTGGTTTCCCTCATCTTCGTCTTCAACTGCCTCGTAAGTAACCGGTGCTGTCGTCACCTTCTCGTGTGCACGGCTTCTGAATGTGCACTCAGGGGTTTGTCGTGGGCGCCGCTGCCAACGTATGGCTAATGGATCGGTTCGGCTTTGGCAAGGCGCGTTGCATCCAACGAGACCCCCCCGCTCCTGATCAGACTGTTTACTGACTTGGCGAACGTAGGTAATGATCATCGGTATGCACGCTCACAATCATCCTGTACGTCTTCTGACTGTACGACAGGTGCGGTCGCGCAGATCATCGGGTACGCGCTTGAGGCCCCAGCACCCCCGTTTCCCGTCTTTGTCGTTGGCTACTTCGTCAACGGCTTTGGTATCGCTCTCCAGGTGATTCCCGTGGCAACCGCTTTTGTTTCTTGAGTTCCTCACACCGCGGCCATGTCGATAGGATGCAGGTGCCAACGGGTACGTGGCGTCCATGAAAGAGAACACATCCACAAAGATGGGCATCCTCCACGCCGTCTATGGTATGTGCTGAAGCCACTGACAGAATGGTTGGGCTGACTTTGCCAGGCGTCGGCGCATTCGCCGCACCCCTCGTCTCTACGCAGTTCTCGCAGTTCCACTACTGGTCGTTCCACTTTCTCATCTCGCTCGGCATCGCGCTCTCCAACGCCATCCTCCTCATCGCCGTCTTCCGCTTCAAGGACCAAGACAGTCAGTCTTCCTCTGCCACGCATCTCTGCGCGTGCAACATCGCTGACACGGGCTCTGCGTTTGCAGCGTGCCTCGCGGAGATCGGCCAGGCTCCGGTCCACAACGATTCCGAGGAGACGGGCGGGAGCAAGTACAAGCAGATATTCCGGCTACGCGCGCTCCACCTTCTCGCGTTCTTCATCCTGATCTACGTCGGTGTCGAGGTCACTCTCGGTGGTACGCGCCTTCGCGCCTTCCGTGTCAAATGAAATTGATGCAGAGAGCTGTTCACGTTCAGGGTGGATCGTCACGTACGTCAAGGATCTGCGTGGGGGCGGCGCGAAATCCGGATACATCGCGTCTGGTTTCTTCGGTGGTGAGCGTGTCGTTTGCCTGCGTATGGACAACCTAGCTGAATGCGCATCGCATCTAGGTCTGACCGTCGGTCGTGTCGGTCTCCTGTGGGTTAACAAGAAGGTACGCCGCTCCCGCACACCAACAACGCTCGAGCCGGTGACCCGAGCATCTTATCCTCTCAACAGGTTGGCGAGCGCCGTGCCGTTTTCCTGTACGCCGTCCTCGCGGTGGGGTACGTGTCCGCACTCCGCATCATTCACACGCTCGTACTCACCCCTGGCGCGGTCCAGACTCGAGCTGGTCGTCTGGCTGGTGCCCTCGCTCATCGGGGGCGGCATCGCCGTCTCCTTCGTCGGCGTCCTGCTCGGCCCCATCTACCCAATCGTCATCAACCACGCCGCGCGCGTCCTCCCGCCATGGCTGCTCACCGGCTGCATCGGGTGGATCGCGGGCTTCGGCCAAGCGGGCTCCGCGTTCCTTCCCTTCGTCACCGGCGCCGTCTCGGGCAAGGTCGGGATCAAGGGGCTCCAGCCGCTGTGAGTAATTCCACATCTTGAGTATGCCAAAACAAGCGAAGTGCTAATGGAGTGCTATATGGCAGATTGGTGTCGATGATGGGGCTGATGATCGGACTGTGGGCTCTTGTTCCGGGGACTCCGCGTCGCGCAGACTGAGCATTGCACATGAGTCGGACGATGGGATAGTAGAATAGATTTCTTTGTTGTATGATATGATATGGTGTCGGTCGGCTGTACAAAGTGCAGTATTCGATAATCATTTCGTTGTTTACGATTCCATACACTAGTGCTGCGGAGTTCTATAGTTAACAATGAAAAAGTGATCTATTAGCTAGACATGCGTTCGGTGGACTTTGCACTGTACAAAAATGTGGACGCACTGGGAATTGAACCCAGCACCCCCCGCAAACATACACAAGTGCGTGCTAAGCGGATGTGATAACCAACTACACCATGCGCCCTTGACAATACAGAATAATGTTTAAGACATGACAGTAAGTATTGCGTCTTAGATCAATATTTACCTGCAACACACGCGCCTAAGGAAATGAAGGCGAAGTTGTTTGTACCATCGGACTTCTCGAGATGCCTCCTTGAGGCCTGATTCAGGAATTCGGCAACTCGATGGCTCAAACTTCGCAATGTACCACCGCCGAATCCTTTACACACTTATCCCTGAGGCTACGGCTGCATGTGATTCTCATATGATCATACCTGACGTGACAGACAACAGATAGGCTCATGCTTCTAACGGGGAAGAGAAATAAGCGCGTCCTGCCATGGAAGTGCAGATACTCCAAGTGCTTTCAACGCCAGACGCTTGGTTGCCGACCGCCACCCCCTTCACACCCCTGTGCATATTCTGGTCCATAACGTGAGTCAACTCAGTACCAGAGAGCGGGCAATTAGCGGTACCGAGGCATGCAGCATGCGGGTACGATGCAGATGACTATGGGATGAGGGCATCTGACTACCTGCGACTGCCTTCGCTGTCCATCTACACGAGTCGTCGGGTTCAAACGATGGCTAGAAGGGCCTGGCGTGCAGGGCAAACGCAAATATGTACGGCAGAGCCACTTTGCTGACAGCTCCTATCAAAAACAGCCTAACCGTACTGCGCCCGCCTCCTCCTACTGGCTCGTTAAAAGGGCAAGGGACTCGCCTGATTCCCCTCAACAACCAACCTGGCGCCTGAGCCTCCATATCTGCTTGAAGCTGTCACTCCTTGTGTTTCAATCCCGCGCGGACCCAGAAAAACCTCGTGCCAACGCGGTGCCTGTCTGTCGACCGACCAATACTCCGGGCACTGCTTTGCTTTCTTACAGCAGTCGATCGCTTGCTGACTCGATCCAGCCCCTTTCGCTCCCATACAAGTTCTAGCCGAACCCGGGCGGCCCTTCCAAGTACAACATGAACGAGCCGCCGCGCCCCTCGCCGCTCACCCTCAAGCTCGTTCAGCCGCTCACAGACGACCTCGTTCGTGAGCTCGCTGCCTCACTCAAAGGACCCGTACTGCGTCCGAACGATCCCGAGTGAGTCGTGCGGAGCCTCGCTGCGTAGTTCTCTTTCTCATGTTTGTTCAGTTATGGAGAACGAACCAGGACGTTTAACGGGAAGCTCAAATCTCTGTCACGCCTAGTCGTGTCGCCGCTCGACGCGCACGACGTCAGCGTCGTCGTCAAATTTTGTGTGCGACACGGCTTCTCACCTTCCGTCCGCGCGGGCGGGTACGGAATTGCTGGGTGGTCTGTCGCGGGGGATGTGATCATCGACATGAGCAAGATGACCGACATTCAAATCGAGACCCCTCTCCCTACTTCGGAAGCAGGAGAAGGAGGGGAGAGTGTTGTCGACTGGACACCGATAGGAGCCCTCCCGTTACGTACAGATGATCGTCAAGACGTGCTCGCTCAGCCAGCAAATGAAGCCGTGGACGAGCCAGGTCAGCAGCGATCTGGTAAGCGCCGACGCGAGGACCGCTCGCCGTCAGCAGGTCCCGAGGAGGACCGTCCAACTATCGCCCGTGGTCCGTATGACAATGCTTCGTATGGCCTTGCTGCATTCCTGCGAGGCCCACCGCTACCGCACGAGCCTGGAGAGACCGCTCGCGAGCCGCCCACCAACCGTCCACGCCGTCATTCTCCCGAGCGGGAGTCAGCACCCCCACCAGCTGGCGCCGGCCATGCCAGCGAGGCGCGGCTGGAGATGCTACCGCTCAACGAAAGCACACGCCAGCTCTCCGGCGGGTCGACTTCGTCTGAAGGGAGCTCCATTGCTTCTGCGCTCGGATTCGGCTCGCACCACTCGCAGTCATCTTCGTCCGCGTCGGCGGCGACGACGACCGCCGCGTCACCCTCCGACGAACGCGGGAAGAGCGCATCTGCCGAGGGGCGCGAGCCTTTTTCGTACGTGTCTGGCGGTCCAACGCAGCCGCCGCACCTCCCCATGTATGGTCTCCCGCACTCTGGCTACGGCGGCTTGAGCGGCATGTCCGCGAATTTCTCGTCCCTCCAGTGGCCCATACCGCCGCCGCCTTCCGCCGCCGGGAGTAGCGGGGAATTCGCCGGGGTGGCCGCGGTGAACCCACCCTTCGGCTCCAGATTCGGGGTCGCCGCCATCTCCCCATTTGGCATCCCGCCCCCGGGGCTTGGCGCCGGCGGTGCGGGTCTCCCTCCGCCGTTGGCATTCGGCCTGCCGCCGATTCTCGGGGCGAGCGCGATGCCCGATCCGAGGGCGGACCCACTCGGGCCGACGCAGCATTTCAAACCCGTCCATCCGCATGCGTATCTGACGTTCGGCGCGGGGATGCGGCAGAAGGACATCGACTTGTACTCTTCCGAGCATCCGTTGGAGGGGACGAACGCGGTCACTGGGAACAAGCAGGACTCGGCGGTGCCCTATCACATTCCGATGTGAGTGTGCGCTCAAACGTCCTGAACGGCCAAGTGAACTGAAGAGGTTGCAGGTCGGCGCATCCCGTGGGGTCGTCTATCATGCTGCTCGCCGGGTTTGGCTTTGTAAGTAGGATGTACGGACTTAGCATCGACAACGTCGTCGAGGTCGAGATGGTTCTCGCGGACGGGCGTATCGTGGTCGTCAACGCTGCCGAGGATCCAGGCAAGTACCCGGTAGACCATTTTGTGTGGCTTCGGTTCATGTTTACACCTTCCACAGACTTGTGGTGGGCCATCCGCGGTGCGGGACCGGCGTTCGGAATTGCCACCCGATACAAGGCCCGCGCGTTTCCTATACCCGTTGTATTCGCAGGGAATCTAGTCTAGTGCGTATTCCTCCCCGTGCACTCACGCAGCGCCGTTGTGACCCCGCGTGCCCTCTGCAGCCGGTTCCACCGCGCGACCGCGCCTTCGCTGATCAAGCACTTCCGCGACTGCATCAAGGGCGCTCCGCGCGAGCTCTACGCGAACGTGCTACTCACCGCCGGGCCCGCGGACAAGGACTCGCTCGTCGTGATCCAGATGTGCTACAACGGCCCGAAGGAGGACGGCATGCCGTACCTCCAGGCGATCTCGAGCTGGGACGGCGAGCGCTGCCTGCTGAACGAGGTCAACGAAAAGAGTTTCCTCAACCAGCAGGACAGCGTCGCGCAGATCCTCCGCGGCAGAGGTACGCGCGCGCATAGCTCGCATCGAGCGCAAAGAGAGCTGAGGCAATGTGTTCCCCTTTCGCAGCCGGACGGCAATGGTTTCTCCGCTCGAGCTTGATCACGACGCTCCCAGACGAGGTCATCAACCGCACCGTGCTGGAGTTCGCAGACACGCCCATCGGGTGTAGTGCGTATCCCCTCCCGTCCCTATCGTCATCTGCCGTGACCTCGCGAAGAGCTTACCCACCATGCCACCCCACAGCGTGGATATTCGAGCTCGCAGGTGGCGCCATTGGCGACTTTGAGGACACCTGCCTGCCAAAAGAGCAGCGCGAGGCGACGTGGACCGTCGCGGCGCTGCACCAGTGGGACATGGGCATCGACGACCCGCGCTGCATCACCACAGCGGAGCAGGTGAGCGCTGCGCGCGGGGCCATCCCGGCCCCAGAGTATCTCCCCGCTAGCCGCAATTGCTGACGCCCTCTCCTCATGAAGTGGATGAACGACACCATCAAACAGGTCGCAGTGGGCGGACCATACCCGACGGTGAGTGGGCACGCTGGCATTGGCATCCGCCGCCAGCTCCAGTGCACGGAGCCACAGCACAGGGTCGCTGACGGCGCAGCACACCTACGTCAGTTCCTGGGCCGGCACGAGCCCCCTGCGCGCACGATGGCGTGCTACGGCAAGAACTGGGACCGCCTCGCGGCGCTGAAGCGCAAGTACGACCCGCACGGGCTGTTCAAGAACACCTTCTGGCCGCTGGACGCGCGCGGGAACCCCATTGAGTCCCTGGCGAACGAACCGCCCTCACCGTAGGCGTTTTTTTCATAGTGGGGATAGAGTCGCTTCATGTGTGTGTGTGTATTGGTATCGTCGCTGTGTGCAGCCTGCCCGAGCTGTGAGCAATGTCATTTGGAGCCGGGTCGCTTTCGTGAGGCAGTCTGTCAGTCTGTCAGGTGGGCGCTGCGGGGGGCGTGGGCATATAGAGTTGCTCGAGCTCGAGATTGCATCGCGTATACATCTACCTACAAGTGTGGGACTAAGCAGAGAACAGTAAATGGGGTAACTAAATGAGCAGGATATATGTCGGTGGTACAACAGCACACGCATGGACAGCACGAGACGTCTCCGGAGAATCCATCGCAGGCTCAACGTACACCTCGAGAGAGCAAGACACAGGAGCCTCCACGGATGGGAATGGGGTGAGGGATATGCAAGAGAGACACGTACGGGAGATGCAGGGACGACGACGAAACATGCGTGAATAGATGGCGATATGAGGTGAGATCCATGATGCGCGCAACCCAGTCCAGAGTCTCGAACGTCTGCGGCACTAGTCCACGGGTAACAAGAAGCTTGCGAGCACCCACCCAACGTGGCCAGCGCGGTCGCGCGCGAGCAGCAAGCAATCTTCGCCATCATCGACGTATAGCGGGAGGTCGCGATGCAGCGACGGGTGCCCCGCTTCCTTGAGGACCGCATATACGTCGTCTACGCGGAGCGTGAAGAACGGCAGGTCGCGATATGACACGCCTGCAGGCGGCTCGCACGGGTGAATCACGCGGCACTCGTACAGCACTGGTGCCCGTCCGGTGCTCGCCCGTTTCCTATCTGAGCGTGCGGGTGGCGGCGCGTCGAAAGTCGCCTTCCTTGGCGAGGGTGTTGGCGAAGGTGCGGCGTAGCTCACGTTCGAAGGGAGCGAGGGCGAACGGCGATGGCGCGACTCGGAGGAGGCGTTGGTTGCCCGGAAGCTGTCTGTAAGCCGCCGTCGGAAACTGGGCTTCCGCGATGGCCGGCCACGGGCGTCCTCTTGCAGCGAGCCCGCCACGCTGTTGAGGCTTGGGTTGCTACTGC